TAGATATCGTATGTAAATTTACGTGATAGAAATATAGAATATACATATTCATATATAGTTACGATCATACATAATTAAGTATTTGTAAAATATATTGAATTTTTCGCAGAATTATCAAAGTCAAAACGTTCTTGCGCGACTGTAGATGTTCGGGTACTTTGATTATGCGACATGCTCTTTGCAAGAAATTGCCACACAGGTCATCCAAGTATGGAAAATCCTTACAGAATCCTTTCTCTTTTCTCTACCCGGTCCCTTTTTCAGTGTGGTCTTTCCTCACACACACAGACCCAGACATTTGTCCTTTCTATTCTTGGATTGTCACTGTTCTTTCGGATCCCACCATCCCTAGCTCTAGGCCAATTTACTGAATGGACGTCTCCAAGTCACTTCTCTTTGAAAGATCAGAACAACCGACTTTTAAAGCTTCTTTAAATAGAGGTGTTTCAAAAGAAAACCAGTGTATGCAAAAGAAGAGGATATAAATTGGAAAGCTATTCTATAAATTTTTAACAATATCGACACTCAATAAAAAATCCAACAATACGTCGATTATTACATTATACGTCACTCGATAAATAAAAGATAATATTTAATATAATTTAGATCTTCAAATGGCAAATAAAAAAAAAGCAACGATTATACTCATATGATAATTATTTATATGTTGCAATTATGCGTTTGGATATTAGAAGCAACATATCACGTTCGTTCCTGCACAGCGACTAATAATGTGTCAAGTTATGTCTGTTAATTCGACTAGGAATAACCGTTTCAAAGTCTAATAAACGCTCGACACGCAGGATAATTAAGCGCGTCTAATTGCAAAGATACGTCCGAGGGCGCGTATCTGGCTCTCCCAGGAAACCTCTTAGGAAATAGAAGTAACAGCTGGTAGTGGCTCGGAGCAGAAGGACGATAGGATCGCTTTTAACGATCGTTGACTTAATATTTTCCTGGCGCGACGGTATGCTCGATTTAACGAGGGCGGCATCGCCACAAAACGCACGCGTGCAAGCAGGTGAAGCAAACGCCCGGGAAATAGACTGACCGATCCAGGGACTGACTGGTCCAGGGATCGGAGAAAAGAACGTGCGGGAACCTGTCCATAACAGTCCGGAAAGATAAGCAACTGCGCGATAAGATACGCTAATTGAGAGATCTTAATTGGAGACTGCGCGCTGGACCCTTTTCTCGCGCGGGCATATTCGTGAATTCACGACGCTCATCTTTGACTCGTTTTCACGTCGTATTTACAAATATTATACAAAAGATACCTTGCATTCAGAAACTGCAGATATTAAGACTAAACTAACAAAACGTCGCATGTTTCAAAATATTAAAGTGCAGTAATAATTTTGAATTTAGAAATGTCTTAAAAAATCTCTATTAAAATTAAATACAGTTATTCTATTCAACTTAAATAAAAATATATATTATTATATTGTTTATATATTAATAAATTATTATTTATAATAATTACTTACCGTATTGAACTACTAGGGTGTGCGAAATATTTAACAGCACAATACCTGCGCATCTCCAGTTGAAAGAAGGTTTAAAAATATAAATATTTGCGGCATATACATATATATAAGACATGTACGGTGGAAAGAATAAAATAATAAGTAAAGATCAAAATTGAGATGAATAATATATAGATTTTATATCGAATCACACACGAATCTCAGATTTTACATGATTTATTTATTGTACTGTCGACTGGTGCGTGCATTTCGGGTGAAATCTTGGGACACCAATCCGCCGCGTCCGGACGAAAGCGGATTGCGGGCATTATCCGGTAAGATAGAGTTTCCGATGGGGGACGCACGAGAAAGCCGCACGCCGTAGAAGATAATCTCGGGATCTAAATGCGGGGACTTACGCACCATAGAACATTGTACAACCTACCCGGTGACGCGTGAATGTACGTTGATATAGAGGAAACGGAGGAAGGAAAAGGGGTAGGTACGCGCGAGAAAAACGAAACGGTAGACTTTGTGTAAGGATAAGGAGGGTGCAACTCACAACGGTCTTTTTTTTTTTTTTTTTTTGACGGGCCGATTTTAAGTTAAACACTTGAATGAGAGATAGCGAGACGTGGCGCGTAAGATTTATGGGAAGTAGCTCGAGATTTGAGCAGACGCGAGATTCATAAACACATTTTTTTTTTACGGCTTCTTCTTCCTTCCCTCTTTCTCTATATATATGTAGAAAATCCTGATTCTCTTTCTCAATCGTCTCGCTGCAAATAGAGAACCTCTCGGTCGGACCGTGTCGCCGCCGCCGTCACGACGTGTTTGATGTGTTTGATTTTAGCTTTCCGTCTCGAGACGGCTCGAGTGGACGGATAAGTATATTGAGAGTCTCACAAATCCATCACCGTAAAAAATTCGGCGCTCTCTATGAAGTTGGATTTCTTTCACGACCCTGGAATATTTTCCCTTTTCGGCATTATGTCGAAAAAATCTAAAGAATTTATAACAATAATACTATTATACAACTGGGGTTTATATGTGTAACGCGCATTTATAAAATTATTAGAAAAAAAAAATATATCTCCCTCTTTTAAAGAGTAACAAATTATCCACAACTGTTATCATTACAGATTCTTAAACACTTCGGGGGAGAGAAATGTGAGATTAACTACGTCACGGGCGCTGTGACATTACGCAAAAGACAAACCCGTCTCGTTCCTTTTTTTTCGTAAACATTTCTGCAGTTTGCATAACTCGTTGGACCAAATCGTATACGTCCGTTACTTTATCGCTCCGAAGACTGGTTTAGCCACCATTCCTTCGACATTGTCGTTTTGCGCGAGGACTAAGGATTATAGCCATTAGAGGGATAAGAGAAGTCGGAATGATAATAAATACGACGAATAGCAGTGTATGAGCGTGTATTTGACAGTGTTTTTCTCTCTCGTACGGCGGCACACATTATTAGACTTCGCAGTACGTATGCGATTTAAGTTGGAATGTTATATTATTGCTAGTTGCTGCCGGGCGTGCTGTGCTCGTTCGTAATAGACTGTCGCGCATCGTAAATAAAACGTGTCTCTGTGTATGTATGTGTCTTTCGCGCTATAGCCAGAATGATTAATACCGAGCAGCGCGAAGGCGCGATCAAAACCGATCTAATTTCTCCGATCCGGGATGCGACGCTCGTTGAACGTCGGCCAGTTACGAAAGTGGCTCCCGGCTCCTTCTCGTAGAAAAATCTCAGTTCGGCTAATTGGCCGTCGTCCAAAGTGCGACGCACCTGCAAATCCCTTCTTTTTTTCTTTCTTCCTTTCGCGATCTGTCATCCCTTCGAGATGCGTGCACATGAGCACAGCACGACCGGGGTACATCGATACATCGATTTAGTGGGTAACGGGTGGGCCTCTATATTACAACGCGAATTACAGTGTAGAATATCATCATCGTCGTTCGTTATACAACAATCATCGTAATAATTATTATCATCGTTTCATTGTTATCGATCGTCATCGGGTGTGCCTAAGACAAGTCGGTATTAAATATCTTACAATACACATCATCTTTCATATATATATTTTTTATTTATATATATATAATATTTATATTTTACCTTTTTCTTTTTTTATTTTTATTTGTTATGTATACTATCTATCTATAGGGAGGGGTAGAGTCAGATTCATCTCTTGTGTTTTGTTCGTTTCATACCGTTTTCTGGTTTGTCGATGGTGAGGAAGTAAAAAAAAAGAAGAGGGTTCGGGAAATAGGTGATGATGATCTGCTCGCAATCGAGTCAGAAGAATGATAAGACGATCGTGGTATCATATTAACACAATTTAAAGACCGACGACATTTTTTTGCCAATATGTAAGAATATCTAAACACGCTAATGTGTCAAACGAAAAATCGTAATAGAATTTTTTTTCTCGATCCGGAAATTAATAACCAAAACGAGACTCGATTACGAATAGTTCGATGAGATGACGCGAGAATGATCGCTGATCGGGAATCGCTTTTTTCTTCTTTATATAAATACATATATAAATATATATATATATATGTATATGTATAATAAGAACGACAGCCAGTGACACATCTCGCTTTCGAAGAGACTCGCAAACTCCATAAAAATGATTCCATCTTTTTTTTTTACACATCGCCGTGAACGCCGTGGTGATTCTCTGCACGTCGCTACGTGACACGCTAGGCTTATACACATACAAAACGAGTTGGTTAATTTTTAAAGGTGGAGTTACAATACCCATATTAGAATACAATACATATACGTTTTATTTTTTTAGATTAGTTATCTGTTATTAAATTATAAGCGTCGGATTTTTTTATGCCTTTCTCTCGTGGTCAGCTGCTGGCATTTTCTGTTTACACGCGACATCTTATCGTGCTTATAGCTTGCACTCGCCACGTGCCGATAACGAATCACCGAAAGGTACGAGACTTCAATGTGATAAAAGCAGTCTGTGATTTAAAAAAAAAAACAAAAAAACAAAAAAAGGTAAAGAATATTCGCAGAATGTAAAAAATGTTGTTCCCGAAAAAATGAATGTTTAATTTATTAAGAAAGTGCGTCGTAAAATTAAATCTATGATTCGTTGTACGAAACGTGGCGTTACTACGTGCATATTGCTCCCTACATTTTTTTAACACACATACAAACATCCGTAGGAATAAGCTTTTCTATGCACTGCCACTCATATCCCTTTAAATTAATCAAATACTGAGTATTTTCAAACTCTTTGTGTAAAAAGCATATTTTCATCATCAAAACGGGAAAAGATGCAAAATAAAAAATGTCTTCAAGTAAATTTAATTATTCAAAAATAATATTAAAATCTTGACAATACATGTACATAATTCGAATATTACTTCTTATTAGAACGGTATGTTCAATAAACTATAAATATAAATATACAATTAGTCGTTATACATTTTTATATATGAAGAGAGAATTTGCAATACAAAAATATCTTTTCGAGAAAAAAGTATAAATAAATTCAAGACCGATGAAATACTCTCAAACAAATAATAATTAATGATATCGTATCGAATGATTCGCAATTGTGACGAAATAATGTGCGAAATGATAATTAAGGAATACGACTGATGTAGAAAAGAGACGAAAATGAGGGAAGAGGAGTAACGGGGGATGAAAACGATAAAAAGAGAGCAGCGCATATCTTCATGTACATATATATATATATATATATATATATATATATATATATATATATACGTACAAGGACAACGAAGAGTCTCTCAGGCGTTTCGGCTTTCGTTAATACCTAAACATGATTTCAATAAATAAGCTACCTATAAGGGAGTGATCTCTTTTTTCTTGAAGGGGAGAAGGGACAGGCGCTCCTTACGTGGCGAGTCTGCGAAAATGGATCAACCCCAGGGTGCCTTCCTTGTGCGTAGAAGATAAAATAGCATCCAGTCGGAAAAATAGAAGCGAAAAATAAGATCGCACAGGACGTTCTCAGACCTTTCAAACAACTCAGAGGTCCCTCGGGGTTCCCTTCGTCGAGTCTCGCCACCGCGTCATATATTCATGTACCTAGCCTAATAATACAGTCTGCGATAGCATTCTAAAGATTAAGTTCATTAACGGTAATGCATTATATATTACACGCATTCACACCGCGTTCCGGAGAGGCGAAATACGTATGCACGCAAAATGCACACACAAATACATAATATATGCTCGCGCACAAACATGCAGTTCCAACCGATCGCCGTTGTCCGAATGCTCGAGAAAGGAAAAGAGTGTTTGCAAGATAGATTTTTTTCACGTGAAATTATTTCAAAAATATATATGTCGATAGTTCAATCGATGTCATTTTATAGAAATATACTCTTTGCTTTTTTCTTCGTTATTGCGTATCTCATAAGAATCCTCAAAAATTACATGTACAGCTTTCCGCTGTTATTATATTAGTATAGAGAGCTCTTTTCTAAATATACAAAAGTAATTTTTTTTTCTTCTTTTTTCGAAAACATGGCGCTCTCTTCGAGCCTTATTTTATATTTAAACCTTCAAATGTCCCGCATCTGAAACATGTGTTTCTTCTATTTCAAAGCCACGCAATGACATCGTTTTATTATTAATCTTTTTCCGAGGATAGTAGATAGAATATTGATCTCGATATAAAAAGCGATCGTCATATCAACGACCTAGGTGAAAAAAAATAAAGTTTGGATTATCAAGAAAAAACTCGGAGAACTGTCGTCGGTCGTCATATATACTCGGCACGTTCGTAATCGATCGTGCCACGAGTTTGTGCGTCGGCGGCGGTAAGGCCTGCGGTCGCGAACACGCAGGCAGGCACGCACACATTATTCATACACGCGGGCAGGCACGCACGCACGCTACGTTAGGCGGCGTAATTAGCACAGCGAGCGAGAGAGTCTTGCGCGGCGTGAGCTCTAACTGCGCAGGAGGGCGTAAGAACGACGACGTCCGCAACGTGACAAATATTTCTTCACTGGACCAGCGCCGACAACGCTTTGATTTCGACGAAAGAACGAAACCGTAACGGAGATCGTGACTTGAATTTTTTTTAATTAACGCGTAATTTTTCTTCGACAGCCGAAATATTATATGGTGCATCGGTGCGGTATACAAACGAAATTGTCTACTTTTTTAATTTTTCTTAAAATACAAGATTCAATATATATTGAGATATATATATATTTCAATTGCATCGCGAATTGTATCGGGCGTTTCGTCGAATTTTTTTTTTAATTTTTTTTTATATCAATATCACATGTTTGAGCGAATCAAGTTTGCGAGAATTGTATTAATATTTCGAAAAAAAATATATATATGTGTGTGTACGTATGTGTGTACATTAGTAATTCATAATATTTCACGATATCCGAAAGACGGATTACCTTTGTCGGGCAAGTTGCGAAGACATGTCCATCGGCGTGCGTCGTCCGCGCGTCTTTTTGCGCTACCATCGCGGGCCAGTGACCGCGCTCGAAGCACAGCAGCCGTTCGGTTGCGTTTTCTGTACGACGTCAATCCCTTCCATTCGCATTCAACGATCGATTGGGCAATAATGGGCTCAAACGAATTCATATATATGACTGGTATCGCGCAGTTTATCGCAATGCGCAGCATCAAGGGTGAAAGAAAAAAATGTACTAATTGGCCACGCTTTGTCACGAGATTAAGAACAAAATAGATAGATAAATAGATAGCTACATAGATAGATAGAGAGAGAGAGTGTGTGTGTGTGTGTGTGCGCGTGTGTGTGTTTCAGTGTGAGTAAAAAAGAGACAAGAACAGAGATAACGAACAATTGATTCGCGCGAACCAAACGGAGGAGTAATCAATGATTAGAGAAAAAAGAAAAGACGCTCTTATTGTTACATACTTGCCTGAAGGGGTCAGTCGGGGCAAGTGTAAATCGAACTTAACCGCGTGAAATTGAGATAGCTTCGTCGGACGGGAACTCGCGCGCGCTCACGCTTCGACGTCGTCTCGCGTCTTCCCAAGGGATCGTTTTCGGGATGCTTATTCTATCTCGACGACGAGCCGTTTCCCGCCGCGGAAAAACGTCACCGGGGACGGGAACTGAACAGAGCGCAGGCTACATAAGGCGTGTATGTGTCGCGCGTGTTATGCATGCGCTCTCTCACGCAGGGGAGCGAGCCGCGTGTCCACGCTCTCGATTCGCCGACCGAATTCGAACGTGGTGCTTCGAGTCGCGACTCACGGAGGCGCCGAGGTCTTTTTTTTATTTTTAAAAATTTTTTTTGTTAAGTGGGCTCCTGACATCCCGACCACGAGCGGTCCACCAGCGTATTTGGCAGTCTGATCTCAGGTTCTCACGGGGTAATGGAGGAGGCAGTCTTGATCGGCGAGCTCGCACGCGGCTCAATAGTTGTTGGCCTCGACGAGGCGACTCTCGTGCCGTCTCCGGGGCCCCGAGTCCGCCCCATCCTTCTTCCAGCGATTCGAATGCCGATGGCGATGCGGGGACGTGTGCGCGTGCTCCCTCGCGCTCTTGCTCTGCAACAGGGAGTTCTTCGTGGCCCTCATCATCGGCGACGGCTTCCTCGAGACGACGAACGACTCCTGCGGCGGCTCCATGCCGCCCATCTCCGCGTTCACTAGGCTGTTGTGGTGCTCTATGTCGGCGCTGGGATTGTACTTGATGAAGTTGAAGCACTCCTTCCTGCCGTGGGGATTCTTCATCTGCTTGCCGAACTTGTTGAAGCCGATGTACCGCGTAGTGTCGACCACGCTCTTGTACCTCAGATACGAGCCGTTGAATACTTCGTAAAACTGACACATCGGTCCCTTTTGTTTCTTAGGCTGAAAGCAAACGATCGATGGTTCGCCATATACTACCTGCTGTTCAACCCTTACAGGGTTGGGATAATATGGATGGATATCATTTTTCTCGAGTAAAAAATGTCTTGTCTAGCTTTATTCGAAAAACTGTTATTAGAAAACGATTACAAGAGACTAAAAATGTTTATTCAAATCTCCTGAGAATTTTTTTTTACAATTTGCAATTTGTTTTTTAGTAAATCGATCGAAATTGAAAATTAAAGAATGGTTTGAATGTGATTTGAGGAAGAGCACTCTCACATAAAAGTAAACAATAATAATTATTCGAGAACTCCCCTCAAGACAGATATTGAGCGGTAAATTTAACGCACGATGAATCAAGTAAGATTAAAGCTTGTAATACACGTCGTAAACGTTGAAGCCTTAAATCATCAGACTGTTAATAATCCAATTTCTAAATTACAGCCCCGCACGTAAGTAACGAATAGAAATTTACGAACAGTGCAATGCGGAGCGTTTACCGGTGCGTGTAAATCTACTCGCTCACTCGCGAGATGATGAAGTATGTCTACTAATTGGTAGGCGAATAATTACCAGGCCGACAAGTTTCCACCGCTTATTGAAGCAAATGTATCGTTGGGTCTTCTCCGCAAGGATGTACAGCCTCCTACTGAAATCTTCCGATTGTGTGGTGAGTTTCTCTGTAACACACAAGAAGAGAGAGAAGCGTATAACAAATTTATTATATTTAAATAAGAATAATTCCTAAAATTATTCGTCCTTAAAATGATTCTCTCTCCGTGAAAGAGAGAATAACGAAAATGCTTCGCATTAAGCAATATGCATAGTAAATAACTCGGAATGAGAATAACTCGGAAGAGGCCGAAAGAGAGAGAGAGAGACTTTGAGAAACCCTTGCAATTTCTACCGGTCTCCGATCTCGGAGGACAAGCGACAGGATGCACAAAGCGAACCGTTTTGTGCTTCGGTATGCACGCTGGCATATTTCCGAGAAGAAACCTCGTCGAGGTTTATGGCGCGAGTTGTACCTACAACGACGCCGGGCTCCCCCTCTCTCGACCAAGGTGTTCTTCGGCATCGAGAAAAGAAGAAAAGGCTTGGCTAAGCCCGCCGCCGAGGCTAGTTGGTGCTAATGAAGGAGGCACAGACCGTCCGGTGTGTGCTTTGCCACTTAGCGGATCCTGTCGTGCCTCGACCCCGAAGTGCACGTTGCACCAGCGCCGTCTTTCCTTCTTTCTCGCTCCGCGTCACTTCGCTTCGCGTCTCTTTTTCTTCCTCCACCCTTCCTACCTGGTGTTACGAAATTTTGTCGAGCGAGAAGCAGGCACCCTTTGTCCGCCGGTTGGAGAAAAAAAAAGGGACCGGCCGGGTACAGGTGCGCACATCGAACGTTTTCCATTTTTTTTTCCTTCTCCTTTTTATTTCTAGCGCGCACGCGAGAAACATCTAATTCAATATGCTCACATGGTGTTCGTCAGAACGTCAGAACTGGATCGGAAGCGTTTGAAATTCGATTCCTCTCTTATTCACGTCGTTTACACGAACGAGAATGTGTAATCGATCTAATATTTTTATACCTTGTGTTTTGCGCATATGAAAGATAAATTTGCGTTTTATGCCACAAGCATTTACTCCTTAATTAAAATAAAAAAATATATAGTGCGTGACACTTTAAAGAATCTCTATTTCGATACATGTTAGCACGTGAAGAGAATCGTAATGAGAAAAGAATCAAATTGAAAAGGCAAAAGTTTTGTCCTCTCGCTGATAGGTTTGTCTACAGCCGATCGCAACGTTTCTCGGAAACTTTGTGACGGAAGGCGCTATCTTGAGATCGAGTGTTTGTCCGTGGGTTAGTAGTGCGGCATGAGCTTCAGTAATATAGAAAGAATAAAGAAGATGAGTCTGCAGGGTGGCCCATTTGCCGGAGCCTCGTTAAATTCAAGTGGTTCTCGTCGGACGCCCAACATCGAAATCAAGAATGTCCCCGAACTGCCTCGTAAAGCCCTTCTTCGGTTCAGTCTATTTTCTTTCTCTCTCCCTCCCTCTATCTTTCTCTCTCGGTTTCCTTCCTCTTGCTTTTGCGTCTCTTTCTCTCATCCGCCTTCTACAGGTCTTCGTAGACGAAAAAAGCGAGAGGTCTTAATCTCAAACTGCTGTCTCGCTTAGCTCTTACACAGTGCGCAGTCTGCGCCAATTAATTGTACCACTTACGCTAATTAATTGGGTTTACCTCGCAATGGAGCATCGATTCCGATAGTATCGTTAAAGAGAACAAATAATTGTCCCTTCTGTCCCATCGTTTGAGATAGTCTACGTGAGAAATATCTACATCATTATGTTACCCTTAAAAATGGCAGCGGATATAGGCTCTTTGAATATTAATGCGCCGGTTAATGGAGGCTATAATCGAGAAATAGATTTCGAAAAAAAAAAACTTGTAACTCTGATTAATTAATCATGAAATATACAATTATTTTGCCATTTAGATAGATGGTATAGATATACACATAGCATTGGCGAATAGATTACCTCGCATACAAGAAATCGCATTAGCAATCAAAATATTTCATAATAAAAATTATCATAAAGAAAAAAATTCTATATTATTTTTTCACTTATCATTATCAATAAAAATAGTTTTATGAAAATGTAATTGATAAATATTCATGTATATGTTATTTTTTCAAATGATTCATCGATCATATGATGCAGAACTATATCTAATAATTTTAATGGATCAAATATTTGAGCAAAAATTATATATAATCTCTTCTGTCGATCCGTCATGATCAATCAAATGCTAATTAATTAACAAAAATAAAACCTTGGGATTATTTTTAATATTATCATAAAGAGAAATGTTATTTATACAAATATCGATGAAATTGATAAGAGATATTAAGTATTTTTTTATTAAACGAGAAATTTATCGATTAATGAATGATAACTTTTATGATAGGTAATCGATATAAGAAAATAAAATTTAAAAGCATCTACGCTATACCTGAATACGCTTAATGGAGCAATTGCATGAATTATGCAGCTGTAAAAATTCGAGCAGAGCAAGTCAATACAGAATATGCGTTACATGATAATATATAAGTATATCTTGATGGTTGCAAACAAGTCAGAAACTATACGAACCGATATACTTTCTCTCTTCCTTCCGGTTCATGACACCGGAATTTTAGATATGCGTCGCGCAATATCTGCGATACAACGACGGAAAAAGATACGATGATAACAACCCGATGGCAACGACATTACCGCGTTTCACAAAGTCCGCTCCACGTATTTGCTCGCTCCAGTTACCCATTACCGAACTTTCACATTTCCGGTGCCTCGTCGCCGTCGACGACCGAAGCAATCGCAGCGAAACTCTGTCGCTTCGTTTCGAAGTGATGGTTATCGTTATCAAAGAAAGGAAGTGAGACCGGCGCGCCATTCGAGTGCTGACGCGTTTGTTAGTAAGTTGCTAGACGCGCGGAGACAGCCGTCTACGGCGCATTGATTTCAATCTTCCATTTGATGGATCTCCCTCGACCAATGAATTCTTTTCTCCAAATTTCAGGATGTCAATTGAACACAATAAATCTTGATATCGGATCGAAAATATTCAGGATTATTTTCATCCAGAAAATTCATCTAGAATTTTGAGAAACATAATGCAAAGGAACGAGAGTATCCAGAATGATTTTCTACGATTAAATTCCTAGGATATTGAATTGAGCGGATAAGAGTGTGTAATAAAAAATAATATGAATAATTATAAAAATATAAATGATTTTATATTATATTTGTAATTATGTATTTTCTCATTGTGACTATGACGTATCTGACGCTATTCGCGAAATATAAAATTCAGGGCATGTAAGAAGCTGAGCTGCATTCCTTTGCAAGACCTCCACAATCGATCGATGTAATATATCTTGGCGAAAGATGCCACATTGGAATTTATTCATGGCGCACTCGCAAGCTCGACGGCGCGTATGAGAATGAAGAGAGGAAGCCACTAAATTTTTCGCTTCAAACCTCCTGTCTTCTCTCCCTCCCTTTCTTCGTCCTATTCCCTTTCGGCTCGTCGCCCTCGCTCTGGTTCCCTCTGATCGGAGCCGCCGCGAGATTAGAGGCTGCCAAATGAATTAAAAGCCAATTTTAATCAAAAGCGAGCACCGGCTTTTAGGCACGATTACCCCGGATAATAACTAGTAGGATGGGCCTGCGCGGGTAAGAGGAAAAGAGCGAGATAGAGAGGGAGAGAAGAATGGATCCCATATATTACTTCTACGTGCTCCTCGCGATATAGGAACCAATTCGCCGCTTGTTACAGGTTCGCAACTACCTGCATTTTTCTATCGCGACGGAGCAAACTACAAATCATTTCATCTCGCGATTAACCCACGACACAACCTGACAAATTCAAGAAACTCGAGGTCTCCGTCATCTCGCGTTAGAGAAAAAGAAAACAAACCGAAAAAATGCCGCGCCCTCGCACGATTAGACCTAAGGGGTGTCGATGCGGCTATTAACGCAACACTGCGTCTTGGCGCGAAGACGAGATGACCATCGCCGGATCGAGAACCACTGGGGCGCTACAATTTCGCGGCGTCGGCGTTATGAAAGCTATAATACAACGCGCGAGGGAGAGATGGCCGGTACCGACCGTGTAAAGCGCAAGAAAAAGTCAAAAGGGAAAGGCAGGAGGAGAAAGAGAGAGGCGCAGCTCACTCGTTATGAGCGCGCGCGTATAATAGCGACCCTGTCATTAACACCTAAACGCACGATTGGCCGATGCGAGGAACGCGCGCACCGGGAACAACGTCCAACTCTTCGACGATGTACAGTAGACGAATACCGACGCATCAAGACGGACCGGGAGAATGCAACGCGAGGTATCACGAAGATGGATCAAAGGTGCGACAGGTGAAGAGCCTGGTTTATCGGGCTGACGCGGTAATCACAGTCCGCCGCGACTCGAATAATTAAATTCCAGTCCGAACGATCGGTGCTGCTGGATTCTCCGCCTTTTGCCTGCCTCCCCTTTTTCCCTTTGTATATATGTGCGTATACAGATCTCCGTAGTTTCGTTTGATCTTCCCTCTTTCGCGAGACAGTGTTGAAATTCGCGCGGATAGATATCAGTCGATTTCTCGGAGCGTTAAACGTCAAACGAGACGCTTGACAGATCATTTAAATGAGTGCGGTAAGTATGTCGCGTCATGCTAATTATAAGCGTGCCACGTCGATCATATCTGCGTTTACTCGATAGGGGTAACAAAAAGTCGATAATTATTATTTGCCTTGATTGTGGATGATAGTTATTATCGTGTTACTTCTGACGCACTTGAATTATGTCTTATCATTCCTGGCTGGATTCCCTTTCTCTTTCGTCCTCAGAATTTCTACTCTTCTATTCTTGTCTGATAATACGAATTGTAATTAAATCACAGCTGGATATATTAATATCTAATACGACAATTAATAAGAAATAAATAATCATGAGAACTTGTACAATCTTTTATCTGTATACCTATATAAAAATGACTCAACAGACAGTTATTGCATTATTTTCACGATTGCATGACATGGGGCGCATATTACATGACTCATTTAGCAAATCATATCATATTTTCATTTAGTAAATCATCGGGATACCGGATGACTATAACTTGCACAACGAAACTTCAGAAGACTTGAAACTCCTGAAGATTCGTCATGTCACATTCTTCCTCAAAGCCTGATACACTCTTCAAGGACGCTCTCACAGTGTCTCGATCCCTCGTGCAGCAACATATACGTGCCGTATTTTGCTGCGCGAGATAGGGGCTTTAAAGTAATCGCCGGTCAGGAGAGACTCGTTGTCGGCAGTTGAGTGCCGTGAGAGGTGAGAGAGCAGAGTAACAGAGGGAAAAGGGAAACCTGTGCGAGAGGAGAGAAGACAGGAGGAGGTAAAAAGGGGCAGGAGATGAAGGAGAAGGAGAAGGTACGCGAAGGTGATGGATCTTGGGGAGGTGCAGACGCGGCGCGCAGCGTGCGGCGCGAAAACTGGCTCCTCTGTTTGCACAAGCGAGCCTTCTTCCCTCCTTTCGAGCCTTCCTTTCGTCCCCTACCTCGACGATGATCGTCTCGAGAGGAACCGCCTCGTACTCGTGCCGCACGTAGGGCGGACAGCCCGGCTCGTCGCTCGTTTCGTCTGGGATATCGCGCGCAAATTCCCGCGGAAAAATTCGCGAAAGCCCGAAAGAGACCACCGTAGGCAGACCGTTTCGACGACGGATTCATACGAGAGTTCAACAAATTTTAAGCTACGATGTAGAATTTTCTATTATCTTAATTGCGCTCTATATTAAGCACGCTTTATATTTTAGATTATTTTATATATATAAATCAGATGTGAAAAGGGTTAATAAGAGCCCTGTTCATATTCAAAATAATTGAAGAAGAATTAAAAACAATTTTGTTGCACCTAATATCTGCACTTGACTATTATTAGGATTTGTTCATACCTAATTTTGAATAAAATAATCATATAAGATATGAATTAATGATTCATCGTTCTATTCAAATTTGTTTTAATACAAAGTTATACGCAAAAAATAGTAACGATATGAATATTATTTACTACATGACATAGAATTTTTTGAATTAGTCTTCATAGAAATTATTAACTCAAAGTTCCAAAATATCTGTCGCTATTTGCCTCTATATTAAACAAGGTTAATTTTAGATCACTATTAAGGTCATCGGCAAATTATCGTGAACGAGCGAGTTATGTAAGGCGAACGCGAGAAGTGTCATTCATCATGATCCTGCGCTAACGATCTGCCCGATTTAAGTGAATCAGTCAAGGATGCGAAATGTTTGGTAAATGTATCATCGCAACACATAAACAAGCGTCGGTGCGATCATAGCGAATGTATGTCGAGGCGATAAAATGCAAATGGAAAACAAGCAAGCACATATGTAAATGTATATTCTACGCATTTCTCTATTAAGTAACTTCTCCTGATTTTTAAAAGAGTAAAGCTAAACTCCTTGTAAACCTGCTTGCGATTAACAAGGAATTCGATAAGTAAAGAAGAGAGAAAAAGCGCGAGTTCGATGCACGATAAAGCAAACGGGCGAGAGACAAACAGTGTCTAGCCAAAAACAATCGAGACAAAGCAGAATTATGTCATAATTCATTGGCGAGCCACCCTCTTTTACTCCTTTCGCCTCTTTCCGTGCACTCAATGTTCCATTCGCGAAAATAGAACTGCAGTTATTAGTTCGTAAAAATGAAGATTTATCCGGAAAAGCCCCCGCCGTGGAGGCATTTCCTAGTGAAAACGAGAGAGAGATAAGGTCCTCAATGGAGGCTGACTGATAAGAATCGCAGTAAATTAAGTTCTTTAGTTGCACCGCGTGCCTGGACATTACAGGCACGAAATCTTCTTTTTATTTTATGTACGAAACTATCGATCGGAGCGATAACGAGATGCCGAGATTCGAATCGATTTAATTAACAGATTCGATAAATCCTATAGATAATTACATTACTATGCACATATAATAAAATTCTCTTCACTTTAATATCAAAAAGATTATATTCTAAATAAAAAAAATATATTTTCATGAAGGAAAGAAATTTATTTCAATGAATCATTCGCTTCGAAAAATTTAGAGAACAATTTAATAAGAACAACAAAATGTATTCGAGTAATTTTCCTCATCACAGAAAAAAAAAATCCTTGATTCAAGTATATTTTTATTCTTGAACGCTATTTGATTGATTTAAGCATAGAATGCTCTTTATAATCAAAAATTTTCATTTGCCTTAATAAAAATAAGTTTGTGTAAAGTATATTTTATCCTTAAGATATATTCTTGTTTTAAAAATCGCATATGGTAAAAACAAACTTAGTCACATTTGAACTAAGAATTATTATATATACTTGAAAGTATTCCTTATATCCGATGCTCACTTGTCCTTGCAATATTTATAAGTAAATTTCAGCTTCAACCAAAAATATTTTGCACTTTGTTTAAGGATAAATTATCCTTTATTCAAAATTATTTATATTTGACGCTATTATAAGGATAAAATATACTTGAATCAAGGCATATTTGCATTCTTTCAAGGATACTGTTTTTTCTGTGATTAAAAAAATGTTTTATTCATCGCGTTTAGATGATATTAGCACAATGAGAGGCATAACGAATTATTACGGTATCTTACTTACGGTAGGGTGCATTGTGATCGTCGCGGCCCATGGCTTTGATCGAGCGGCTTATTACGGTAACATTGCCGCTGCTGCAAGTCGAGTAGAGACTCACGGAGCGCACCATCGCCGGCACCGCCCCGCACATCACCACCTGCAATTACAAGAGCCCTCGTGTATTCGAAATTCCTCGGCCACGTCATTTGTGAAATTGTTTTACCGGTACTTTGTTCCGAGAGTCGTTTATATATAATAAAAATGCGTAACAAAAAAATCGTTCCTCGAAAATAAAGTAATCGCAAGCGTTCTTTCGGATCGGCAGCTCTTTCAATATCAAATCAGTGGCGTTATATATTTATGCGATTTGTAAAAGGACCGTATTCAAGATGCCCGTTTTACGATGATGATACTTTAGCCGGGAGCGTATAGTTTTATTTCCGATATTTAATGAATTATTCAAATGTGTCGATAAAATTCATATGCAAGCACGATCGTATAATATATTAAACGAACGGAGTTAGTATAAGAGGCAGTTAAACATGGAGAAATCGTGAAAGACAATTCGAATCAAAATTAGAGAGTCACGTTTTATATAGTACCCTTGGCGTATATTATGTTGATTTCTCCGATTAAATAAAAGGATCGAGCTGGTGAGAGATAAGAATTCGCGTGCCGTGTTTTCAGAACAACGACCGACCCGAGAATCGTTAAGGACGCCGAAATTCTTTCATGGCCGCCTAAGAAGAACGCTTTTACGATCGGTTCACATATCACGACATCGAGTCATTCGTTGATTCGCCAACACAACGGATAAGATGCGATAAAAGTGAACCGTGTCGGAGAAAGACGAAAAGTCATCGTGCTGACTGTTCGGAAATACCATACATGTTGATGGCAGAAATTTCGTTAACGAGCGAACACGAGCCATTCATTAATGGTCGCTGAAAGCGGCGTTTTGTTCATATCAAAAATATTGACAATGCACATATTGCGATGTTCGATGCGATCTGTCAAAGAAATGTCAAAACATGCGGAAAGTGTCTTATAGTTAAAAATTAATAACATGTTAAATTGATTATTCTTGACGTAAATTAATGCTATGTTTTTCGCGCAATTACTTCATGATTTATTACAAGGAAATAGCGTTGAATAATGCTGTATCTATGTGTAATAACCGCACAATGAACAAATATACATGTGAATGGTCGGTCACAGAGAGCAATTAAATTCACATTGCGAGACTTTATTGCAGTTCCATGATCCTGTAACATTCACCTTTTAATATCTTTGAGATGGTCGATCGTATATAGCTCAAGCGACAAGTAGAACTAAAACATAACACGACGCTTCTCTCTATCGTTTAACAAACAAAAATTAAGTTAACGACCGTATATATTTGCCGAAATTTTTTATGCTGTGATGAGCGTCGCAATATAACAAATTCTGCATAAGTGCATCGCAATATGCATCATTATATGTGTTTGTCCTTATAGATGTATCGATAAAGACTCGGCACGCTAATTGATTCCGCGTCCTCATTCCGCAATATTCACATTATCATTTAATCGACAGGACTTTCATAGTGCGTAAAGAGGAGCGAGAAGGATAATGACAATCGTCAGTGAATAGCTTTGCAATTTCATGTATCGACCATTCATTAAATTCTCACGCGAACGCATCATCAAGGTAATAGTCTCGAATATGTCGCGCTATTTATCAGACAGTTACTCGAACCGGTGACATCTAAATTTATCGTTCGCGATTCAACTGACCACCCATTTAATTATTTATTGAATCAGCGAATCGTTTACTGCACTCTCGAGACTCGATATCGAGGATACATAAATCTTATTAAATACGATTTGTGTCTCCGCACGCTAGAATTGTCGCATAGATTGTTCTTATCGTATATATATTAGAAAGTCGAAAATAGCTCCATCAATTTTAAAGTATAAAAATAATAAATGTAAAATCTGAAATAGTATTGAGCAATTTATATATAGCTTCAAGCTTGAAAAATTATTTTATTAATATCAAAAATCATATTAAATACTACAATAGAAAAATCAGAATTGATATATATGAATGATTATTCTATGTTCAATCAAACTATTTTTCAGTCCATTCGAAATCAGGTTAAATTGTCAATAATTTAAAATTAAAGCAAGTTTAAACATATGTTACAATACTTATATAAAAAATAGTTTTGAAAACAAAAATTCGTCAAAAAAAGAAACTATAATTCTTGATATATCGTGTACGCAGTTAATCAAAGTGCGATGACAAGCTAGCGGTACCGCAATGAACCGCCGAGTACTTAAAAATTCCACGTCAAAACTTATAGCGCTTTGCAGCGCCCACAGCGGGAAATTAAACGTACGCCGCAATGAGTTAAGATGAGTTAAGATGAGTTCAAAGCCAGCAGCGAGCACCGCTGCCTCGGCCATATAAATTGTCAGTGTTGTAAACGCGTAGGAGTGGAAGCGCCCTGATCATTAATCTATGGCAGGTAAGGTGCGTGCCGACATAATCGCCGATTTACTCAAGTCTTGGCACAAGTTTCAAGCACGCGATGCTCTCTCAGAGGTCTCGACCTCTTCTTCGTACACTGGGATATCTCAGATCTGACCTAGTCACCCTCGCGAGATTGCGCGGTCCGCCGTATATCTTTACATATATATTCCGCGAGCTACAAAAGTAGGTGATTTTGTGGCTTCAACGGAATTGCGGTTGAAATTCTCGGATACGATACCTCGTACCGCTCGTTACCGTTCGCGAAAACTAGGCCGACTGATCATCAGATTACCTTTATGCAATTGGTTCGTGCTACAAATCGGACACATTCAGAAAGATAAGATTACGAGCCAATTATAGCGCGATGAATGCGTCGGTGTTGAAAAATAAATATTTCGAGATATCTCTTCCCTCCATAAGTGTGTCTTAAATAACGATATATAACTATGCTATATATTTTTTATATTTAATTGCGATATTGTGGTCCCACTAGTTTGTTTCTCTAATAGTTTAGTTACAATATAAAGACAAAATTTTTTTTTAATGTGTACTTATTCGTATATATCTCAGAAAACTCTCAATTACTGAAAATAGAGGGACTACAATTTCTTAATATTAAATAATTAACAAAATTACGAAGCTACTCACCATCAGGAGGCACAAAATCTTCGCTAAAACGGTAAGCTGTGGTAACCTAGAAACAACAAAAATACACCCGTTAGTTAAAAATGTCGATCAGGAATATGAACTGGAATATGCGATAAGACCGTTTTTATCGAGTGCATTCCAATTTGCGGCGATTCTAAGTGATTTCGTATGCAAATAAATTTCACATGATTATATACTAAACTCGCGCAGTACGGTTATTACTATTGCCAACTGCACATGTCGAAAGTACAGGATGCATTTGATCGGTTGTAATTGATAAGAGAAAATATGCCCGAGGTAATCAGTGTTGAAAAAAAACACATTACTGCCAATAAAGTATGCCGCATATTTAATTATATTTCAACTGTGCATTAAATCCGTTTAATTGACACATGTACCTTTGTAAATCCTTACATTTCATAAATTAGTTATTACTTAATTATTGATACTTAGTTTCTCTACATTAACTATGTTGTACATTTTAATTTTTTGTTTTAAATTACACAGAAATTAATATAAATAATCCACATCACAAATAACACTTCTAATATATTCTCGAACAGAAATCTTTGATATACAAATAAGAATAATTGCGTTTGTCACAAATCCTATAATTAATATAATCAATAGTTTTCGCTAGATTTAAGATTAGAAAATGTGTTAAATAAATCTGTATAATTTTTAGTTATATTTTGAAATCTGAAATGCATAATGTCTTAAATCAACATGTGTGACAAAGAGAGACAGCGCAGAGAATCACAGAAATTAAGAAAATATAGCGAACGCGCCGCGGATTGCAACTAACCCAGTTACGCGCACGAGCTCTCTCTCTCTCTCTCTCTCTCTCTCTCTCTCTCTCTCTCTCTCTCTCTGCGTGCGTCAAGCCGCCGCAAAAGCGGTTGCGTAATGCAAATGCATCTCGTTTTATGGAACACAGGTGAACACGATCGTGTCGGTAGGAGCTTTCGTTATCCGCTTTAATTTGGCTGGGTTATTGGCTCGCCATACTCTCGCGGGCTGGACCAAACATGCCTTTCTTTCGCCTCATCCCGCCTACCCGTCTCAATGCACTCGATGCACCGCGCGGAATGCCATTCCCTCTCTCTTCGCGGCGTCCCCAATCCTCTAAAATATTCGCTTTATTTCGTCTCTGTTCAACGGAATCTTCTCTCGCGGTGGATTACGTTTAATTTTCGAGCTATCAGATTTTTATCGCTTTTATCAATTTATTCCTTTCTTTACAAGACTTCTAATCTAATTAAGAAATTTTGATTGTTACTATTAAATTGAATTCAATTTTTTGGGCGAGATATATTATATTATCAGTGCGATCTTCAACAAGAATTATTCCGTTTTATGCAGAAAATGTATAAGAGGAAGATACGGTATAAATTCACGTGATACAGATTTCGCCGCAGGTCTTTGCCATGCATTCATCATCACACTCTCCGTGTTATATACATCGGGTCGTAACGTGGAGCACGATACGGCGTACGCAGTCGACTCAGGTTCGAGGTTTAATTGCACTGGCGCGACTGCAGCAGCGACGGCGACTCGATTGCAAATACGCAACTGTATTCGACATTTGCTGCCGGATGTGTGAAGAAACGATTTATGCTTTATTAAATCGAGAGACCTTTACGCATGTGTCAAACATTCTTTAAAAAAAATTTGAAAGATAAAGATCACACATAGAGGTTAAAGATTGATTTAATCATCACTCCAAGTCATCATCATTCGATGTAATGATAATCATAATTTTTAAAAGATTCTTATTACGTTTTACAAATGTATAGTAAAAAAATAAATAATAACTGTACAAAAAGAAGACAGTTGTATATTATTAGACCACATTTGCCTTCTGTTGCCATTCGGTGACATTCTTGCTTTCTTGAATACTGAGAGCCACTTGTAGAATTTCCGTGCCACATTCCAAAGTATTAATTTACGTCAGCAGCGTCAATATCGATTTTTCAATTTTCACATCGACGATGATTCGCGCCGTCTCTGAACCAAGGTGTACGAGTATCCCATTCGCCGGTA